TGATGCAAGCAATTATGCAGTAGGGGCTGTTCTAGGGAAGCGAATCGATGGGAAGAGCCATGTCATTTTCTATGCTTCCAAAATGTTGAATGCTGCACAGAGCAATTACACAACCACTGAAAAAGAGCTATTAGCTATTGTGTTTGCTTTAGACAAATTTAGGTCATATTTTCTTGGCTCTAAAGTGATTGTATTTTCTGACCATGCAACTTTGAAATACCTACTAGCGAAGAAGGAATCGAAACTGAGGCTGATAAGGTGGATACTCTTGCTCCAAGAGTTCGATTTAGAGATCAAGGATCAAAAGGGAGCTGAAAACTTGGTGGCGGATCACCTAAGTAGGTTGGTGAAAGATGAGGACTCCTTACCCATCGATGAGTTGTTTCCTAATGAACAGTTGTTTCATATGAGAGGTATGGTTCCATGGTATGCTGACATTGTAAACTACTTGGTCACCGGAGTTTTGCCTAATGACCTTAGCAAATCCATGAAGAACAAAATCAGGTATGAGGCAAAATATTATGTTTGGGATGAACTTTATTTATGGAAATTCTGTTATGATCAAATGATTAGGAGATGTGTCCCTAAGGATGAGCAGATGTTGATTCTAATGTTTTGTCATAATTATGCTTGTGGTGGCCATTTTTGGCCGAAGAGGACTGCTCGAAAAGTCTTGGATAGTGGGCTATATTGGGCCACCCTATTTAGAGATGCATACTTGTTTTGTAAAAACTGTGAAAGATGTCAACAAACAGGTACACTATCTCGCAGGAATGAGATGCCCCAAACCCCCATTCTTATATGTGAAATATTTGATGTTTGGGGTATTGATTTCATGGAACCCTTTCCTCCCTCTTGTGGTTTTTCTTACATACTTTTGGCAGTCGATTATGTCTCAAAATGGGTGGAAGCCAAAGCTACCAAAACTGATGATTCTAAATGTGTTGTAGGATTTGTCAAGTCTAACATCTTCAGTAGGTTTGGCATCCCTCGAGCCATCATAAGCGATCAAGGGACCCACTTTTGCAATAGAACAGTCGAAGCCCTGTTGAGAAGATATGGGGTACATCACCGAATTGCCACTGCTTATCATCCCCAGACCAACGGGCAAGCTGAAATTTCCAATAGAGAGGTAAAGTCCATCCTAGAAAAGACAATGAATCCGGGAAGGAAGGATTGGAGCCTACGTCTAGATGATGCTCTCTGGGCGTATCGAACAGCTTACAAGACCCCAATAGGTATGTCCCCTTACAGGTTAATTTTTGGCAAATCTTGCCACTTGCCAGTCRAAATTGAACATAGGGCCTATTGGGCAATAAAGCGATGCAACATGAATATGGAAGAAGTAGGGAAGGAAAGGAAGCTCCAGTTGCAAGAGCTAGAAGAATTGAGGTTAGAGGCATATGAAAATTCTAGAATCTACACAAAAAATACCAAATTGTTCCATGACAATGTACTCTTAAGAAAACAATTTAAAGTCGGACAAAAGGTCTTACTGTATAACTCTCGCCTCTAACTCATGCCAGGTAAGCTGCGTTCCAGATGGATGGGCCCTTTTATTGTGACTAATGTATTTCCTTATGGTGCAGTAGAGATAAAGAGTCTCGACACAGGTAAGATCTTCAAGGTGAATGGGCATCAATTGAAGTTGTTCCACGAGGATGCGAATGTCTCCTCCACGTTAGACATCTCGTTGGACATTCCCCGGTATTCATTGGATTAAAGAAGCAGAGGAGAACGTCGAGCATAACGACGCTAAACAATTGCGCTTGTGGGAGGCAACCCATTGTGATTTTTTGTTATTTTGTTTAAGTTTTGATTTTTTTTTTGTGTTTAGCAGGAACCCAACAAGACAAATAGGGAAGTACCCCCAAATCCTTCTACTTTATGCATAATCACATACATTGGGGACAATGTATAACTTAAGTGTGGGGGGATTAGGGAAATCTAATGGAAATTTGGGATACCTTACCTTCTTGAAATCTCTGCTCCCTGGAAAC